GCTCAAAAAAAAATAAAACAACCTCCCAAAATCGGATAAAAATAAATTCGAATGGATTAAGGCGGTTTGGTTCAAACGGTGTTAAAAAAGCAGAGGGTAAAAAGGCAGTTTAGGAGATAAAATGCCTCAAAAAACCCACCTCCCAAATCTCTCAGAATTGAAAGAAAGCAGGTTAAAACGCACTAAATTTTAATATTAATAATTTAGGGTGATATTTAAGTTATGTTTTAAAAATGGAGGGTTAAACGGCGATTTGGGCACCTCAATGCCTCAAATCCCCCCCGAAATTAAAACAACCCACCTAAATTTGAATAAAGATAAATATTTAAATTATTTAAAGACGGGGGAGGGTGAAATGACAACCTTTGTTCTAAAATGCCTGAAAAGGCTCCAAAAAGTCCTCAAAACCCTAATGCAATAAAATAAAATTGACTATAATTCACTAGACTTCAGTAATAAAGGAGATATATAAATTATTGAGATATTTAAGAAAGGGTTAAAAAGCGTTTTGGGCACCAAAATGCCTCTGGAAAGACCCAAAATGCTACAAAAACACCTCAAAAAGCCCCAGAAATTTAAATAAAACTGACTAAGATTTAATAAATAGAAATAAATTAAGGAAATATTTAAGTTATTTAAGAAAGGGGAGAATGAAAAGGCGATTTTGCCCTTGAAATACCTCAAAAACGCCTCTGAAAAGTGTCAAATCCCCATAGAAATCCCCCCAAGTTAATGCTGAATTAATATTAATAAATTAAAGCAGTGGTATTAAAAAACTGAGGGGTAAAGGTGCTTTGCGCACTGAAATGCCTCAAGAAAACACCAAAAAGCACCTAAAATGCTTGTTAAATAACTGCACTTTATCTAATTAATAAATATTTAAGTTTGAGGAGAAACAGGGTTTAAAAGTGGTTTTAGCCCTAAGCCCCCTCAGAAAACACCCGAAACTCCTCAAAAAATACCCCAAAGCTCCGCCAAACACCCGCGATTAAAACTAATTAATCGACTAAATAATTAAATTATTCCCTTAGGGGATTAAATTAAGGCAACAAATTAACTTAAATCAATAAATGGGCTCGAATCCGGCTGCAAACCCTTCCGGATTTCCCCGACTAAGCCCCAAAACCGCCTCAAAACCCTCCGCGGCGCCAACTAACGCCTTAATTAATCCCTTAGTCAAACCCACGAGCTCCCGTTAATTAAATCTGCTAATTAATTAATTAAGCCGCCACCAAGMCTCTCCCCCGCCGCCGCCAGACTCGCGAAGCGCGCCCCGCGCAGCTC